ATGCATTTTCCTTTAATCTCTGCGATTTCAAGTCCAGTACTTGTCGTTAATCCTATCCGAGAACCCGTTAACTGCACTCAAATGCGTTCCATCGTTTAGGGCTTAATTGAGCTTAGGCTTGAGCGGATGGATCAACGTCCAGTAGGAATGAGGAACAAAAATAAAATAAACGAATGAATGAATATGACTGATGACAATGAATGCAATAATTGATGAGTCGAATTTCAAATGAAGTCATTCCAAAGAAAAGAGAATATTCCTTCTCTGTGATCGATTTTCGTATAGTTTCACCCAGCTAATTAAAACCAGCTGAATCGACTGAGCATTACGGAAAATACCTTCCATCAAGATCGTAGATGTGCGTTGATGTTGACATTTCGATGAGTTTTTTGCTAGGCATCATCAATGTGCTGTCTGAATTCGAACGAAATCAATTGAATTCCTAATAAGGCTAACGACGAGGATCGCTAAACTGCGTGTATGTAAATGTGTGCTGAGGAACACATTCCACAAGTACATCGTCGTATCCGCTGATGTAACCATATGAATAACGCAGATGCATGACGCAGATGGACAATTCAAACGAACACAATTTTGCGTTCGTATAGCATACAAATGTAATGTTCAGTTGCACTTGCTCAAACATTCTTAGTATATAAATGTTATGCTCAGAGATCAGCACCGAACTTCAATTGATTCAGCAGAGTAATGTTCATTGACGTAAACGACCTTATGAGCAATAACATGCAATCACATTTAACGAGAAGGATGCCGAGGATCATGTTTAAATAATATCCTTAAGGATTAAGATAAATCGAATAATGATGACAATAACACCGCTGATAATTGCAATACCACTGAGGATAAACTGTAATTAAGATATTGCATAATATAATGGTGATAACGGACTAAAAAACCAACGATACTATAATGCAATGTATATGAACGAGCGCAACTGCGCTAGTTGAGATAGCTTTAAGAAAATAACTATATCTCTTCAAGTAAGCAAAATTGCTCAGCAAAATATATGATATTCTGAATCTAGAGGTTCTGAGGAATCGAATGGTGTAGAAAAATTCATATGTTACTGGGCAAACCTGAGGGTACCGGTAGCTTGAAGATGGTAACCCATATAGAGCTATAGTAATGTACGCATCGATCTATAGTGATACAGTAGTTGATGGTACATAACTCATATACGTTTGATTGTCTCACTAAAATATCCGGTAATCTGCTAGAAACTGCATGGAATAATGTATATTTACTAAAGGAAACATGACGTATGCACAAAACATCAAGCGTTAAGAATGTGTATGAGTACAGCCTATAGCCTAGAAACCGATGCAGCAATGTGATGTTGTGAATGTTTCATGGATTATTTCAATTGGAAATATCGATTCACTCTCAAACAGATACTCACTCCATCCATAACTTGTCGCTCATACAAGCAGCCGGATTCATCGACTTTTAAGCTTTAAAATAATTCTTTCATAACTTCCGCATTTCCATGTCTGCCAAGCTGAAGGTATAAGTGGAAAATCAATCCAATGGACGCCTATAAGTAATGAGTGAGGGTGATACTATGACAACGGGGTAGATCAATGAAAGATTTATGACAATGGAAGTTCCTAATTATGTGAAATCATACTGATAGTGAGCCTGGCTCATAACCCATCGGGCACATCTAGATACACATTATTGGATCATAACATCGATAACAGGTGAATGTTCATGATCTATTCAAAAAAAGAAGTAACACTCCGATGGTCAAACGATTTCGCTAGCTGATGTTCAGGTTAAAGAATCAAAGTTGAAGGTTAGTTACTCAGTAACAATCAGAACAATAGAAATCTATCATGAATTAAGAAAAAACAGGTGGTATATGATACTGTTGACTGAATTATATGCGTGTCATTGAGTATCTGAATATGGATTCGTGGAACTAGGAATACTGGGTATTGAAGTGAACAAGCGAAGATTCCATGACAAATGCGCAAACATCCAATGATAAACGTCATGCGTTCGACTGATACAAATGTAATAAATTTTTATGTTTTTCATGTAATAATATATTCATGCAATAGGCACGATATCCAACGATATAATCGAAATAAATTTATTAACGTTCAGGTCGTACACAATAATTATAATATATGCTCGGAAATATGAAAGAGGCATAATAATGCGAAGAATAACACGATGTAATCACGATGAAATATGCAGTTATATCAGCAACAAGAAAAACAAACCGAAAGATGGATAATTGAGATGAAAGATATCAAAGAAGAAAATATCCATAAAGGGCAAATGATGGATTGTAATGTGTATAATTTCTGAATACAACAATTGGGCTTGATATATGCGGATTCATTGACATAGTTGAATGAATGCGTTGTTCATGGATTGGGTGTGCTTTCTGAGTATGTATTTTCTTGTGGATGTCTGAATGACTGACTGACTGGCTGAAAGGATGATGACGAGTATTCAGATACTCGACGTTGAGAAACGATACGACTGAAGACAACGAGAGCAAGAAACTGCGGGTTATGATTACATAAGTGCTTGAAAATATACATACGTATGAATATATAAATAGTTTATGGCTGTACAGATGAGGTGAAGGAAACTAGAAAACGACTAGAAGAAGCATTTCAGTTGGAATTTATCAAGCGATATTGCTTGATCAATTGAGGCTGGGTTAAGCTGTAGTCGTCACGCAAAAGAGACACAACACAGCTAGATGAGACCAGAAGGCACAAACAAACATGTTAGCTAACGTATNACAGAGACACGTATTTTCCTAGATGATCTGATAGATAGACGGGTGTAGCTAGAGTGGTAAAGCATTCGGATGCAGTTAAGGTTACAGAGAAATTGAGTCACATCGCCTGAGGCTGCCGCTGCTGTTGAACATTTCAGCAATGCATTTATGTCAAATATATTCATTTATTGAATCAATCGCTCATTGCTTGAATGATGTTATAAAATGCGTCGTTGCTCACACATGCTGCTCTCTCTTCTCCAACACATGTCTTCAATTGACAATATATTTTCCATCTTATGATTACTTCTTCCTCTCTTCTACTTATCTCCGAGTATATGGCCATCTAAATGACTATTGCTTATGGCCTTCGGCTCGTTGTTGTTGTCATTATGGCCATCAACGTACATGCTTTATCATCATCATCATCTTACTACCTACCTATCATAGAATCATTTGACTCCCTCTTACGCGATCTTTCATGAGTGAACCTCATTTCTCATCTCTCCTATGCCTTATCAGTCACTCTAATAAGCTGTGGCAGCAGTAAGTACGCATCGTAGAAGCCATCGTTTTCAAATCGATCACTTCAACCGAGTTCGCTTACTGCCCAGAGTTATATAAATATGTATGTATATTCACATTCTCAGTTAAACCTCTCTAGACCCGAGCGAGCACTTTGTTTCGTTGCTCTCTCAGTTTCTACGATTCTACAGCGCCGTGCAAATTCGATATTCTGACTCGTCGGTTCAGTGCATATTGAAAGTTGTCGTCATACATCAATCAGCTGACGGGCGATAAGAAGGATATGGTAACTGTTATGCCTTTTGGCTTCCACGTAATATCAATACGGGTTGCCCCAGTTTCATGTCAACGCCTACGCATGAGTGTTCGTTTATATACGCGTTCAACGTCAGCATCAGTTATGTGGGTTCATTCTTTAGATGATATTTGAAATATTCTCGGTGGGCGTTCAGGTTTGCTTATGAGATCAAATCAACTGGCTGAATCGATGAGACGGGAATGCAGATGTCGTGAGAGCAGATAAATGATCAAATTTGGCTCGTTCTCTAATTGTCATAGTAACGGTAATGCCATAGGTGAAATATTCTGTTCGGTTCGAATCGGTATCGATGGATTTTCCTGCTTGTTCCTCCATCAGAAAACTTGAAAACGCTCTCTAATTTTGACATCATTAAGGCATCAGTAATTAGAGATCGCCATTCAGCATCGAAATGGCACAACCAATCAAACCTTCAGTGAACAATTATGTGTAAAATAATCCGAAGCCAAAATTGAGTTTAACCTTAAGAAATCGCTTTGTAATCAGTTGGATTCCGTGAAACACTTTCCCAATCGTCTGTTTCCCTCTCACTTTTTCGTGTTCACATGCAAACTTTTAATTGGAATTACGGAATGTTATTATCAAACAATCTTTGTATGATTCAAATTCATTTATTTGACCGAATACGAATCAATCGCATCCAAACAACTGCGAGATGATACACACATCTTAACAATGATACTTTCATGAATAACGAACGAATGAATTACTCATCTGGCGATGATAATAATCAGTAATTAATCAGATTCGACCAATGAACACATACAATCAACAAATTAATCAAGTGAACAAGAGTGAATAAATAAATAAATAACACATTGTAAATCTCATCAAGGAATATGATCGACTAAAAAGAGAATAGACGAAGTTTCACGATCAGCGTTCGAATGAAAATGAGAACGAAACAGAAATGGAATATCTTGAGAATTCATAGATTTCGACAGCTTGACAACATTTTCGAATGGTCATTTTCTCTTTCACATCTCACGTGTTTCCTCAATGATTCAATGATCAAAAAAGCTAAATCTTGAGGCAAAACCATAGTAAAATGATATTATTACAATTCGAATAAGGGTTTCATCAAAATGATAATAACTACACTAAAACGAACAATGCGAACGACCACAAATCAAATCCAAATGATCACATCAAATCAGTTCACAAATCAAAACCACAGCGCAATCCTTAAGATATGATATGAGTAGCACAGTAATAGCCGTAGCAGTAATTGCCACATTTAAACAATGTAATCGTTTTTGACACTTAATTGTATCACCTCATCGTAGTTGATTATTTTGAAAACATTTTTAGTTTCTGATATGCTGTTCAAACAGCGAAACAAATGAATAAATAAATAAATTGGATGTAACTTTCGCAATCTCTTCAGCGCACTGTTCAAGTTGACGACGAAACGGCCAACTTCTTCAAGTGCTCCATAAAGACTTGTAATGAGACATCATCAGTAAATACCGGTGCACCTCCCTCCTGCAATGTACACACAATGCGTATTCACAATATTCGTCGAACATCCACTCCTAATGTATAGTGACAAAATTCCATAAACACAGACAGCTAAACTTCGTTCGTGACAGCTTATGCTTTGAAACTATCATCACAAATTTGAGGTGAAAAAAAAGCAGTGAAATTAAAGCATGAAATTAAAAAGAAAACCGACCGCTGCATAAGGATTATTATGTGTTAACGATGGATTCACTTTCGACAGTAGGAAACGAGCCTGCAATGAGATTAATCATTTCCTGATATTTATGCTATATGTGAACTACAAATAATCGGACGACACTAGATAATGAAAAAAACAATAACGATAATGATGTTAACATTAATAGCAATAGGTCTGATGATAAACAGCAATAATGAAAGACGAAATCGATCCGACTGCCTTGCTGCTCACCTGTGAACCTTCGTATTCAGTGACGATGTAACGTGGCATCGGGAAACGTTCCTGCAGAATCGCAGCAGCATCTGCGACTGGTGCTTCGAGCAGTTGTTTGAACGCTCCATACTGTGGATCGTCTTGATAATTCATTTTGCGCCATGCAGCTATTGTCTGCAGTGTTGTTGGTAATCAGTATTTGAATTAGTAATCAGGTTTCATCTCTGCTCATTCATCAAACTGAATCGACAATCAAAATCATTTGAAGCCGAGATCAGAAGCCGAGGTGTGAAGTCAGCTCGAGATCTTCATACTTTCACCTCACCACTTTCAAACCGACCGACCGACCCACTCATGAAACATCGCACAAATCGAATCAAATTTCCGAAAACAATCCAAAATACACCACCTGTCCATGATATATAAGAACATGGAAGTAATCGTCCATAAGCAAGATTCTGTCGGGCAGAATTGAAGAAGTATCCAGCAATACGGGTTCAGGTGGACCACTGAATGAATACGCAAATAGAACTGGCTGAATCATTGTCGTACTCTCCAAAACGTTCTCAGCCATTAATATGTGCCTGAAAAAAAGATATTTTCGAAACATTAATTCAAATACGCTATCGCAACAAACTATCCAATACTACTAAGGATTAGCTAAATGCATTACCTCTATCGCCTTCAATAAGCAAACTTATCTCCTAAACCAACTTCACGAACTGAAATACAGTCGGTTGAAGGCGATCTGTTTTTTCTACTAATTCGTTATAATTAAATGAATTAAGCGAAAATGGTAATACGAACCTATAATAGGCCGTTTCATCAGGCGAATTGTTGAAGACTTGCAGAAATTGTGACCGACGTAAATGGAACATAAACTGTGGGAACAATGAGAACTTATCCGATAGACGGAATGAGGCTGGATCATCCTGAAGCAATACCCTCCCTTATTAATACGTTTCCGTACATCTGGCATAGACGAACACAAAAAACTAATCATAATACAAATGAATCAGATAGGAATACAATGAAATATAATCAGAATTTAAAACAAGGGTAAAACAAGATCAACATTCGAATAAAGCAACAATTGAAATCCAAAAAATTAAAATCTCAACAAATAACACACGAAAATCAATCGCTCGAATTATGTTCTCATTGCAATATTGAAGCATTTGTCAAGACTAAAATAAACTGATATACCTTATGATATTCTCCGAATTTCTGACACAATCTAATCAGACTTCTATCCACCCATCTCAACGCATCTGGCGTATCATTTTCATTCGTGGCACGCCATGATGCTAAACGAGCCATTATCACGGCTGCAGCTTCCTGAAATCGAACACGTTCGACGCTTTTGGTTATCCCTGATTAGATGAAATCCAAAAAAAAACATTTCTGCTCATAATTCAAAAAACAGGTTCGCAAAACTTTGCTCCATCTTCCAAACAACACAATGAACGATTTATAAGTTTGTGAAAATCTGCTATGTCAGTAACATATGAAGTGATATCATTCCGAATTCATTCACTTATGTATGATAATCTCGAAAAAAAAAACGAAATCAGAGTATAACATGAAAATTGCACTCTCCTATGATATTGACAATCCATTCTATTGATCTGATTTCAAGGCAGAACAGAACGTCCCACAAACCTGATCGAAGCCGTACGCAATTTGTGGTTGTTGTGTGGAGAAATCAGCCCAATTTCGGCAAGTTGTCGTGACACGAATTCGCTTACGACCGTCTGGATGTTGGTATTGTGTGACGAACTGTATCACACCACGTGAACCTTGAGCTACTGCTACACCGTGCTAAAGCAAAACTTCCGTTCAACACAATACAATAATCTCTTTTGCCCAACAAACTCATTTCACTACGACAATACTCCCAATCAATTCATCTAATGAAAGTAAACTTGAAAGTGAACTTTTCTCCTTTCTACAATATTCAACACATTCATTAGAATGAAACGGAACAGAAAAATTCCTCCATACTTATAGGAATTAAAATGAAAAACTCTTTGCCAAATAGCTGATTCACATTCAGCTTCAAAAACTGAACGCAAAACTTAGTCGAAATTGAGGGAAGCTTTTGCACACACCTGAGCCACAATTTCCAGCAAAACGGCAACGGTTGCTTTCGGTGACAATGCACAAAACTTCCACTGACACGTACCCCCGATACCCATTTCATTATCCGATACGGATGCATTCTTCACGTTTGCATTCGCACAACATCCCAACATACCTTCCACTTTCAAACCACCCCCTACTTTCACCTGAAAATAAAAGATTATCTTCTATTAGACTATAGACTATTCAATCATCTTCTATTCTGTTGAATGAAATTCCGTCAAACAACCACTTCAGGAACAATCAACTAATCTGGAGGATCACCCCCCCCCCCCCCCCCCCCCCCCCCCTCACACACACACAGTTGTAATATACAAACAATCGAAATATATGGACATTATTCGAATATGCGATTCATTGCAATAAATTGTTTGCTGTCTTCATTTCAACTAATACCAAGACATAAACTTCGTCTGACTCATGAATAGATTAAAGATTTTGATCGCGAAGCTCAACAAAAACGCTAACAATTGGCGAGCGAGCGAGCGATTCAACGATAAAGCTCATACCTCCATTGTGGCGTTGAATCCCATTTTCAGACTTCCAGATGCATCCTTTTCGAAGACACGCTGATAGGTTTGCTTGAAAAGCGACGAATTGAAACTGTCACCCATCACAACATTACCTGAATGAACGCTAAATGATTAAACAACATTTCGTTAATCATGATTGGCATCGCATTTTGACGAAATTTCTTAAGATAATCAACTTTTCCCTTACTGCTTGACAAACCCGAATATTAAAAGTTTACTTTCAAGATGCATCTTAAAGAGCAAGCAGAATGTTGTTTGAAGAAAGCGAGCTCATGAGACATGATCCTGCTCATATGTTGTCAGAGACAAAATCGTACCAGCTGTTGTATTGAAACAAGCACGCATTTCATTCAGTCCAGTTTGATCGAGAGCACAAGAATAGATATCTATAACGTGACCATTCTTCACGGCACGTGCACCCAATCCATCGTAGAATTTCGTTGCCTGACGAGATTATTTCTCAGAAGCGATAATAAAAACAACTTATTGCTCCGCATTCAAATGCGATGAAATGACATCCTTGATAATCAAAATAAAACGGAATTTTTTGTGTTAGTCAACTATAATTGCAGAAATTGATATGATACTCCTAAAGTTTGATATCGAATGAAAAGGATTTCAATGAATTAATAAGTGCTGAATGTCGGTGTCAGAATAAGACTGTTCCAAGACGACCGATCTAAGAGAATATGTATTGAGGGGAATTCTATCAGAGTCAAGCAAATCAGCGAATCAATGCCAACTTTTTTCATATAGGGAGCATTGTCCTCTTTGATTGTATGCCATGATCGGATCGGATTCTTCAGCTCTTCGCCCACAACTGAGCCAGGACCGTGTGTGCATGCCCCTCCGATAAATGTCATTATGCGAGCCCCTGTGTTTGGGAAACATACCTGCAAAGAAGCAGTCGATCAGAGTTTTGCTTGCCTTGTGGCTGATGGATAGATATCACTCCAGCGATTTCAAGGCAGTTCATGAATTTTGACTATTTCTCAAGTTCACTCCATTAAAAACGAAAGACTCGGAGCAATGATGCATCAAACGAAATCACAGAGATAGAAACCTCAAGGAGAGTGACTGCGACGGCAAGTGCGCTTCCAGTGGCACGAATTGGACGGTGTCCCTGTGGAACAGGCCAACGATCCGGTTGGATTTGCTCGATCAAATCGTTTATCGATTGATCACAATCATTGATCGGCTGAAGTTTCCTTATTAACATTCCAATAGATTCCCATTTCGAGACATATCATTTGCATAAATTTGTGTTCAAGATTTTAAAGGCTCGTATTGCCGTGAGTATGAATCGTTCTATTGAAGTGGTTCGCATTGATTCGACAACAAAATCTGCATCCATGCAGATTCCATTCAATCATTTAAATGCCATCGCCTTCGGCTGAGGTTTCGAATCGAAAATTGTCATCAAAAATTTACTTACCTGAATGAATTTATTGTAAGGTAGCTGAGAATGTTGCGCTCCTGGGCCTCCGGGCATCTGCTGACCACCACCAGGCATTTGTGCGCCTCCCGGACCGGCCGAGAATGGCGGTCTCTGCTGCGGTGGCATTCCCGCGACTGGCGTTGGACCTCCGGCGCCAGGCATTGCACCCGGTTGTCCAGCCGGTCTGTTCTGTGCACCCGAATGATCATGGCTACCAGCCGTGCCGATATTGATCGAAATGATATCTTTCAACTGCTTTTGCGTCACCTCTTTGGTACCCTAAATGCACTCGTCCTGTTTATTCGCTTCTTTTAGGTAATCACTTAACTATGACCCATCTCTCCACAGAACGCTGCCGAGTACAAATCTGGTTGTCGCGAATTACTTTATTCACGATTATCTCATGATGGATTCTTAATCCAATATCTATGCACCTTATTTTATTCATGATTGTATTGAAAACATAGACTTTATAATGTATATCACATAATCTATCTTGCATCTTTCAGAGATATATATTGTTACATTCATTGTTGTCGAATATTATGTGTTTAAACGCCATTAGTCAATCGTCTCTTCGTCGCATCGTATCAAACTCGAGAACACAGCAGTTCCTTTTTCACGATACTGGTGATATGATGACGATGTGATTGAGGTGTTCTTCGAATGCTTCCCGGAATGAACTTCGAAAATTTGAAACACAATGGAATTCATCTAGATATTTCGTTGTATGCTATGATTGTTAGCATTACTGACACAAACATGGATCATTCTCAGCAGAAAGCTATCGTTTAGCTTCTTAAGTCATAAAATTATACGATACTAGACTTTTTAGATGTGCATTTAGCAAGACATTTCCAATGACCTCTTTTCGAATCACTCAAATTAAACATCACTTGTTTTCATAGAATAATTCAGTCAGCATATTACTCTCAATGTAAGATGAAAACCATCGAATGAATATCACAACAGCAGAATTCTCGTCCACATGAAGATATGAACGCAACAGTTGGAATTCTATCTTTTCACTTCCGATAACAATGTCTTCTTCTGCTTCCAACTCCCATTTATATCCGACACAAATAAAAATATTTTAATTCAGACTCTCTGACAGCTCCAAAATCGCTATGCTATACATCAATACAAAGTAATTGAGAAAGAATGTTATTTTATATCAGGTTATCACTTTTATTCCAGAATACCAACTCGTTGATTCATCATGTTTCTTGTAGATATCCACTGTCATATGTTGAAATTTCACCTCGCTTATTTTTGTGTACTGACGAAATTTCATTTCTTAATGACGACATGGATTTCTTAATTTCATTTCTTAATTAACTACAGTTGTTAAATATTCCAAAAAACAAACAAAATAACGAAACAAACGATCGTAAACACAGTGTGTAATTACTGCTAATGTGATAACGTCATTTCCATTAGAGGAAATCTCTCGGATGTAATTCGGCTAACACGAACCCATTCATCCATCCATCAACAATCCATTCCACAAAACAATAAATACAAATGGAATGTACCAGTAGCACTCATCTCACAAATTGATATCATCAATTATGTGCACTAATAAATGCGCTCAATTGTTGACTATCTAACAAAATTTCATCCACATCACGCAAAAAATTGCCCACGCTAAATTACTACATTATTTAACTCAAATCACCCACATTACAGTATATCTCTCAGCATACCATCTTAAATATTATCATTGTAATTGTTATGAGAATGATTATTATACTTACTGTTAACAATAATAAAACTTAAGGCCTTCAGTGCATTCTACATAATGTTATACACTTATTATTATAAGCATCAGATCAACGAGACTATTAACCCAGTCAGTGATTATTCTCATCATAAAATACGATAATACCACTCAATAACATTTTTGGCTTACGAATACAATATCATCAAACAATATTTTAGTATCTATCCGAATGTCTGCCATCATTTATTTTCACTGTTGACCTAATAACCCATTGATGATCAGTGCAATTCGTTCAATTCCCTAATAAATTCGTACGGTAGCGGATTATTCGATTGAAAATTAAAAAATTGTTCAATCATTATCCTACCTCCGCATATTTGCTTTGAAAATTAGGCGTTTTGGAAACATTTGCTATTTGCCTTACATGGAAGTCACATTTTTACTCGAATATCAGAAACGCGACAATTTCAGCGAAGATGTCGTCGGTATCATCGGTGGAATTTTCATCGTCACTCTAGAACCTCAACTTATTCTAAATTTATTCGTAATTTTTCAGTTATTTGCTTCTTTCAGTTATTTTAGATTTGCCTTTCGCCATTTCTTCAGAAACCTTTTATACTCAACTTACGACATAATATGTCGTCCATTATAGCAGAAACATCATCCATTTCACTTTGCATAATTCATTCGCTATGTGACCTTAATCAAAAGATTGCACTCTACGCATCCCATATTGTTCTCGACTCTTATTATTATTTCATGAAATCACACAATTATCCAAATCATTTCAGCTAATATAATACTTTCGGATTACCCTATCGCGTGACGAGAAATCAGAGCAACGACGAGAAAATTGCAACATAAAAAATCACCATAAACATGTGTCATTATGGAATTGTAGTTTACAAATAAAATTTTAAAAATTATCCCGATGGAGGCGCGGCTTCATGAGGTCTCATCGTGTGGAAACGCCTCAAATATTTCAGGGCATCGACTGACTGTCGCAATTGTTCGTTTTGCAATCAGATCTCAATCTCGCAGCTCGAGTTTCTCAATCAACACGACCGTATGCTGGTCGGGATAACCGATACGGATGGATATATATCCTGGATGAAAAAATTTTCGCGAATGGAACTTATATTCTAAAATTGTTTTATTATGATTCTGATAGGCATTTCATGTGAATTCTGATAGACATTTCCATAAGGATTTGATGATCTCCTTATTGTTCGTAATCTTTACAGTGACCGTAGTGCTATTTCGGGAATCTCATTGATCTGGAACAAACGAGTAATATTATTTGTCAACCGGATTGCATCAATCGCTATTGTAATGTCGTCGAACATTTAGTCAATTTCAGGTCTAGTCAAGTGTGATGCATTTGAGACAATCAACTGAAGCCATTTAGAAATGGCCAAATTCTCCACCAATTCAACGTTTTACACATCATTGCGCACTCATATGCACAATATTATTGGTAGTAATTGCTGAAAAGTCCGTTTCTAGAACAACAAATAAAATGTTCCGAAAAAGACCTCTGTGAATTGAACGAAAGCTTTTAGTTGATTAGGTCAACATATGGAAGCAAGAATTATTGAAGTGAACTCAACCAAACTGAATCCGTGAATGATTATGAAAAATTAATGATTACATTGACGTTAGAGTTATGAATTTTTGTGGATGTGCATTCGTTTTTCATTTGCACAAATTGAGATATATCTGCAGACGTTTTCTAATCGACACTCTACTTTATTTTTCCAATTCAACTGGATTTCTGATAATAATGACAAAATGGTTGTTATACGTCAGTTCGAGAATTTTTAAGAAAGACTCTTTGCAAACCTCGTTCTAATATCCTTGCTTTGTTTGAGTCTGCCTGAATTAGATTCAGTCTTGAGTTAATCAACTTCTCACCTCTCATTCCAAAAACCTTATCACATAGAAGATACAATTTGAATTTCATAAAAAATATTCTAGATTATCCTATACAATAACTGAACAGACATGCAGATGGAGTCACAATATTGAACTGAAGACTTAAATTTACGGCTAGACTGAATCCTATCATCAGTAAAGTTTTGCATTGTTTATAATTTGTTTTTTTCGAAGTCCTCGTTCTGTTTTCCTATTCTGCTTCATTTTTTTCAGCTTATATTTCATACAAATGATTGAAAAATCAACTTGATTATGAACAAAAAAATTCCAAATTTATATAATTGCGTATTTTCATCGTTTGCATCATTCAGGATTGATAAACAGATCTTCAACTTAATATTAGTATGGTTCTTTAGATTACAGCTACTGTAACTGATAATACTGCCACTGATGATACTAATGTAGTAATTGTTAACAACACTAATTGAATCAGAACACATTCTTTCAAAAATTCGTCCTTTCTATGGAACACATTCGACAATATTAACAAATCAGCGTAATACCCGTTTGAATGAAATCTACATATCCCGCTATTCCATTGAACTTCTCATCTTCATCAGCAAATAACATTTCTTATAACCCCGGATGAACCATATAACTCACAAAACAAACTATATCAATACAAATACTGAGTTTATTATAATATCACAAATGTGATATCTGGAATAGCTTAAAAAATCTTTGCAACAATTACGATACTTCTCGACGTTGAGCTGCTGTACAATACTACAACGTGAATGGTTTAATCCAACATGGAAATTACTTTCATTAGTTCATTATTCATTGCTCAATTAGCAAATGAAGCAATTACGAGTCTCTGCTTTGAACTGTTAATGGTTTTGTCATATTCCTATAATTGACCGTCGACTGCTATCATTATTGCTATTATCACGGTTATCAGATTCTACTCTAAATCTACGTGAAGCCTCAAAACAATGACCTATTGTTTCAGGTCCCGAACGAAATAATAACGTTGAACATGTCCTTAATAAGCTTGACACTTTCTATAATAACAATATTTAATCTCTTTGCTGCTGATAACAAAAGTTTGTTCTGCAACGGAATTTATTTGGATGCTTCATATATAAGTCCGTTCTCAGTGGACCCATTCGATGGAAATAGTTGGATTCTTGCTGAGCCTATGGATGACGCTTTCAGAGAGCAGAATCAGAGGCAATCTGAGGAAGCCTACGGAGTGGTAAGAATTTTTATCGTTTGCATCATTCAGGATTGATAAACACATCTTCAATTTAATATCAGTATGGTTCTTTAGATTACAGCTACTGTAATTGATAATATTGCCAGTGATGACACTAATGTAGTAATCGTTAACAACACTAATTGAATCAGACCACATTCTTTCAAAAATCCATCCTTTCTATGGAACACATTCGACAACAAATCAGCGTAATACCCATAACAACTAATGGATACGGCACTGATTTATTAGTGTATTGGTTGCTTATGAATTCAGACATGACATGAAATTCAGACATGAATCAGATAGAATCCAGACATGAAATCAACAAATATTTCAGATGGATGAAGCAAAACCAAAAATGAAACGATACAGGCGTATTGGTGGAACAATCGTTATGGGAAGACGTCGTTAATGGAAATAATGTCAGAAATTTTCATTCGATTATCCCATCAAACGAAACCTAAGTATACAATCCGTTGTATGAATGTATAAATGTATTACGTTGATACCAAATCATCGAAATATATCAGTTTTATAAATTTCGAACTGTACTCTTCTACACTCACTATCAGTTACTCATACACCTCTTCTACATAATTCAATATTACCATTATGAGATTGTCCAACGAAACGAGCAGAACAATTGATGATTATTTGTGAATTCACACATTACGCTTCAACTGATATGATGTTATCAAATGCACCAAACTATTATAATGTCTTATCAAATTGCAATCATAAAATTAAAATGATCCCGGCGCAAGCCTTGTCTGGTATTAACCTCATAATAGCCAAGGTTTTAAATATCAGTTATGATATATCAGCATATCATCTCAACATATCTATGCGATATTCAACAGTAAATAGCAGCTATTAATAAGGATTGAATCGTTAGGATTCCCGTTTTGTTTCGTTATCGTTATCATTACCAAAACGTTATTGATTTGAATAAAACATTTGTTGTTGTTGTTATTACTGTTATCTTATCCCTACACGAACGAACATACATTCTGCAAATGCTGTCACGAATTGTGAACATGATTGTTTGGAGCAGAGTTCAATCGGTACACATCCAGTAAATTGTTATGCTTTGTAGACCAAATATGAAGAAAGCCCGAATCTGTTCGGATCATACGTATTATGATGCGAGTAATCATAAAAGCAAGTGAACCAAAAGCTGAATCATCCTGCATTCAGTCAAAAAAGAAAGAAAAAACCGACGATGTTATACTGATAAGACTATTCAGTGAATAATACTGATAAGACTATTCAATGATGAAGAACTTTAGCAAAAGTGAGTCATACAACCGATAATTGAAGCCAGATTAGATGATGAATGAAAGAATGAAGAAACGAATACTTTCGAACGGCAACCTCATATTCATGATGATATTGTAAGAACAGAACGGTCACAACTGTATGTTCACATCGTACAATTTCCAGAGCAGTGATTCTTAATCTGGGCATTCACGTCCAGCAGTGGGCAAGAACCGTATTTAGAATGGCTTATTTCTATGAATAAGAATGTACTTCAGTGAATTAGAACCATTTTCAGGGTATCGATAGAAACATACTCGATTTCGAATGTGTTACTTTTGATGATCATAGACGAGCATATCTGCTGTGTTAAGATTATATTCCGTAATAGAACGGCATGGTTACAGTCATGTTGAAAAGTGTGTTGTGATATGATTACAATGTTATGACTGCATGTACATGTGACAGGTTGAAATGGGACCAAAGGAACAAACCTTGAAAACGTATGCCCGTGAAATGCCCTGAACCGAGAGTTCATGTAACTCAACCATACGTCCAAAAGTAATCAAACCAACAAGGGCATCAGCTGGCAACAGTGAAAGTGCGGTTTGGATGGATTCTTTCAACGCTTTCAATTCTTCGGCACTCATACAAGTGTCTACTACGAACACGAATATCGGTGGCATTGTGGTGGCTTTCTGCAATTCTAGTCTAGTCATTACTGCTTTCATTATTACTATCATTGCTGCTATGACTGTAAACGTTCATATCACTACTGTCATTCATGTCTTTGTGATTCATGAAGCTTTTGAACTGCTATTAGTAATGAAAGATGATCCAACAATTCCAACCGTTAAATGAATAATCTAACTTGAAATCGTCGAAATCAGAAACCATCAACATAATTTCGTATTCTTTGTTTTATTTTTGATACATTGAATAAATGAGTAAACAAGTGAAATGACTGGATATTGTGGAATAAAGTGACAAACTTTGAGAGTATATTCAATGGTGGTGAATTGTGGATACAACTCAGGTGGACGATTGTCTTCAGCGATCATTCCATAGTGTGGTGGGAAGGGATTACGTTGATTACAGAATGGGCATGTCCAACTTTTACTTCGGTAATCAACCATACTGAATATTCGTTAATATTAGCATCATGTGCACATTATCGTTACGATGAGCTTCTCACACTTTCCGCAATAAGCATTTGATGATAAGCAGAAAGCATTATTCAAGTTGTTTCAAACAATTTTTTGTTGACGTTGCAAATAATTTCAAAGTTCAACGAATTCATTTTTCTCATTTCAGAGCATCCATTTCTGTTCGTTAGTCCGTATCGTATGATATTCTGTACTGATAGGGACGAAATTTGGATGCAGAACTCAGATTGCTTTTACAAGAAATAATTAGATACCATAACGGATTGAGAATAGCCTTGCATGATTGTTTTTGACATAGGACAGGATCATATTCTAACGGTGGCTGCTGCGGTTGATCCAGAGGTCGCTCCTGAGAGGAATTTTCATCATTTCATGAATATTTTGCAGCGGAAAATGATATGATTGGATTGAAAAAGTCACTTCGAACAGATTTCAACTGATGTTCAAACATTTACATAGTGCGTTATGTATCTTTTGACGGAAAATCCATATTGGTCACATGAAAGTGCCAGATAAATCTGTTGTACCTTTGAAATGGTGAGTGATACATATGAAAGAATTTCTCGACATATCCACCACTGTTGAAAGGATGTTTTTTTGCGTATGTATGCAGTTTTGATAGTAAATTTTTTAAAAGAGATACTCAGTGATTCAGATAATCTCAATTGCGAAACTGTGCAGCAGGATTCGAGATGTTGCAAAAGCTTGAAAGAAAACGATGACGATAAATTTGAGTCAATCTCCTAATTCAAGTAAGAATCGATTTCATCTCAGGTAGATCTAAACCTCCGGCAATGGTTTCGCAGACAGTAATTATCCATCCACTCTGGATAGAGAACTACCGTCGGAAATTCCTCTTAGTTGGACTCAGCATGACTGGAATTGTGGATTGCATTCGGAATATGAAATTGGAAGACTTATTCCCTCGTATAAATAATCACTTTCGGAAGATTTCTTGAGGAGGACAATCAAAAGCCTATTAAATGATCTCGATTTTCGTATGAAAACTCTGCGATGTTGATGCAAATATCCGTCTTAGAAGGAAATTTTGCTAAAATCAACATATGTCAACAGATGAATATGAGGAGTGATAGGGGAGCATTGCAAGCGCACTCCACCTTGAGAGGAGTAAAGAAGACGGACACGGGAACGACCAATCTTTGGGCATCGAGACGAGAATGAGGCCACATATTCCAGGTCATTTGGATGCCATCGATATTGGCCTGGTTAGCCAAATACTCCTCCCACGTCGACATTTTACTGAAAAATAAACGATTGAATTTTTTAAATCCCAATTTTTCGTTGCGATTCATCAAGAAACGATCCTCAAACGTTACGCTGAGACTTTCGGAAACCACAAAAGTGGATACTTAATTATGAAACTCGCTGCAACTCTCCAAAAACTATCAAATTTTCATTATCAAAGAGAAGAAAACGTTTTCGCGAATGCTCTAGGGAAACTCCATCGAGTTTTCTGCGCACTTTTACAAGCGACTTTTCACGGTTACAAGCGCAGAATAAAATTTTCATAGAATCGTTTAACGAGACAAATCAAGACGACGACCACGCAAGAATTTATTAAAGAATTGAATGTGGCATAAATTTACAACATTTCACTTTTTGTGGCTATTCTGAATAATCGTTTGATTAAAAACACATTCTAAAATAGTTTAACACCTCTAATGCGATGAACAAAACAAGGGCCGAACGTTTCTGTGTTTAGGAGGACACGTTTAACATTCCATTCGTCTCTACACTCATTGAAGTAAGTTTAGCTGGCAGAATGAACACTGAAAAATATGCATACGCTCATTTGTAGTGTAGTTGAATCATTAGTGTTGTGTTGGTTGATTGGCATTACAACCCAATACTTCCACGTCAACCGAATAGATATTGCGTCATTTAAAAATCGCTTGTTCATCAAATAAACTGAAACCCGTTAGATATGTATTTTAAGGCATTTATCAGAAAACAAGTTGGATGACCTATTGAATTTAGGATTCCTTGACAAGATAAAGTGTTTCTAAACATATTATACGTGTGATATCACGATGAGCACTCCCGTTTCAGACGCTGTGCGATACATATCCGTTGCTGATATGCTGTACATGAAATACCGGTGTTTCTATGGGATCCATGAGAAGGGCTCAAATTTGTTGTGTCTTCCTTTGTTTGGACCTATCGAAAACCTTTGAGATGCTCACAAAAATGATTCGAATCGTGGTTAGTGCCTGGAAATCTTGACTGCATGAAATTTGGCGTAGTGGTTGTTGCTATCGGCAACTCGACGTTGATAGGATGCCAAATCCACTCAATCGATCATGTTAACTGTGCAAATTCAATGGTGTGTGCAAATCTTGAAATTACTTTATTAAATTTTTTTCACCAAAATTATCATATACACGACCAGCATTATCGTATGATAAATTTCCACAGCGGTGATTTTAGACAAGTAGATGAGTGGTATATAAATGAATAAATTTAATGGATTTGTTGAGTGCAGTGCATTGTTCGCTTAAGTGTTCTTGTTTTTTCGCATGCTGACGAGCCATCTTCGTTTTCGTTGTTGCTGTGTTACCTTATCTGATGAGGATGATGCTCTAAGCGAAACCTGGTTACCACGTTGGATCTGATTCATACAGCACGACGAAACATTATTTGCTTGTATTCATAATATCGTTTCGCCGTCATCTTAACCAGTTAGAAAGTATTTATCATTTGCACTGATTATTATTATTCATATCCAAATGTCTATCAGCCCGATCATTAAAAGACATCGTTGTTATCGCTAGTTTCGATGATGATTGAATCAAATTTGTAAATCAATGAGAAACTGACTAATTTTCAATTGAATTGACTATCGCAAATCGCCAAATATCACCTCAGATTATCGAATGTTCATTCACTTTAGTCGGTCCTTCAATTGATCAACTTGATGTTTTTATTTAATTGATGTAATTCTCACAATCAGCTGATGTTTCATTAATGATCAGTCTGTTATATCTCATCACACTCTATAACATTTTAATCACTGCAACAATGAATGATCACCTATCGACGTTCGTCGTACAATGTCTAACTTTTTTCGGTTGATGAATACTAAAGAAACGACCGCATTTCTAGGCGGTGGACACACTCACTGATTGCTTGATGGTGTTAAAGAGCTGCCGTGAATGGTGTTAAAGTAGTATTGCAATCGCCACCGTCACATAAACTCAACAATGCGACGGTCTTATTCTGATTCCACGCAGAGCTCATTTGAGGGTACCCCCTCGTCATCAGCACCAACTCCGTCGCATTCTCAATCAAACAACCAAATTATTGAACCAAACGATACGCCAAATACATCTAGTGCATATTTCAATTATAGTCATGCTAATGATTGTAATAATAATCCAACAAGCAACAATAGCAATGACATTCATAACAGTAACAACAACAGCTCATTTTATTTGAGTATACCGCTAAGAGAGCTTGACGATGCAAATAATCCACGATCAGCAACAAATGCTCTTCAGTGCGATGCCACTGATGATCCTAATTCAAATGCAATCATGTCTTCCTCAGTGATCAATCAATCGAATCATCCAAACGAAGCTTTAAATCCAACTTCCACTGAACTTCAGCCCTCTTCATCGTCCGCATCGAACGATCAAAGCAGCGATATTGATATCCAAATCCGTAATGTTGTCTGTAGTTATACCCTTCCGTTCCACATTGATTTACGGCAAGTTGCACTCAGCTCATCGGCGGTGACGTTCGATCGAGGACGTGGTGTACTGCTGAAGCAGAAACGGAACCCATCATGTTTCGCCAAAATCTACAGCTCCGGAAAGGTTTATTTGGTTGGGTGCCGTTCCGAAGCGGAATGTAAACGAGCCGCACGAGGGGTGGCTAGAATGCTGCAGCGCAGTCTTTTGAAGACACGATACTCCATTCGAATGCGCAACTATCGTGTGTGCAATGTATTGGCCACTTGCAAAATGCCTTTTGGAATTCGAATCGAAGAACTGGCGCAGAAGTATCCGAGCGAATCCGAGTACGAACCAGAGCTATCGGTGGGTCTCGTGTGGCGATGCACCGATCCGAAAGCCACACTTCGTATCCACACAACGGGTAGTATCACAGTGACGGGTGCAGTCTCTGAACTGGATGTGATGCGTTCCATTGAACTCATTTATCCAATTGTGCAAGAATTTAAATGTGCGTATCGTTTGCGTGCAACAGATGATAAAGAAGCGAAAGCGCTGAAGAAACGAATGAAACGTCATATTGTTGGTGTTAACAATAATGGCGTGAGTAACGGCTTGTTGAATGCAAATAAACGGAAGTGTATAACGGAACAGCTCGCAGGCGGTTGTTCGAGTCGTGCAAATAACTCGCCGATACCAACAAAGGCTGTCAGAGAGAGTCATTCGGGAGCGATCGGGAATCTGATGTATTTCAGTGATGAAGATGACGAAGAGGATTTCTGAATTCTCGAATCATTATCCAGTTAGATTCATCAAAATGACTGCGATATCATTGATGAATCGATGAAGCTATCACTGTTCAAATCGTATTGCTGCTATTATTCATCAACAACAATTTGATGTCTTTACAAGCTTAGATATACGAATGCAATATTACCTACCCTTAACCGCAGTCAATAATCATATATGCTACTTCAGATTGCTTGTTATATACATATTGATGTGATATGATATGAATGATCGTAATCAGTGTTTATTGTTGATTGGACATATCCAAGATTTCAGCTTTATATCTACCTATATGTTGTTATTATCGACAGAACAATAGGAGAGCGAATGTTCATTTACTGTATTCTTTTCTGTAATTACTTATCATCCAATCCACTTCTTACCGTCCCTAAGTCATGAGCGACCAACAACAGCATCATTCGTCGAGATCAACCTCTTCCGGTTAATTGCTTTTTCTGATGATAAAATTCTTCATTTCAAAGAGAATCTCTCTAACTTACCAGTATCTTCAGAGTTTTTTTTGCTTGTCTGAATGGGATATGTTTTCACATTCTTATTCCAATTTTCAAGCAATCTTTACATTCTTATTGCAGTTCAAGAATTCTATTGAGTGTCTTCACAAGGTGATTTTAAACTGTCAGTTATTCCAGCAAATCAAGGTCCCGAATTACTTCCAATCGATGATACCCTATCACCGTCAGCAACAAATCAACAGTACCCTGATCCACCAAGTCCTCAGTCTTCTCTGTCCGGATTCAGCAATTCACTTCGAATATGCTCAGATGCTGGAGGCACGAATCAACAGGTTCGCCTGAACTGCAATTTAGATCGAAAATTCTAGTAGTCCATATAAGCTCTTCATATGTATGAATGCATCCAGCGAAATTCTTTCGTTAAATTCATTGATTCCGTTCCATTTTAGGTTATAACAGATAACTTGGAAGTATCAAAGACGATATCGCCGTTTGTGAATAATGGTGCAGGTGCGTCTGGCAGTAGCAGCATTAATAATATCGGAGGATGTCGACGTGACCGGAGTGGTGCTGGTAATAGTACGGTGATTCCGGTTGGGGGCACGCTCTCAAGACCGATCAGAAAGAAACGACGTACGTTATTGCTGATATATTTAGGGTATCAGTGTGTCCCCAATTGTTCATGTTTTAACGTAAAATCTCACTGATATTTTTTGAGGCATTTAAGTTTCACCGGTTGTTTTGATTTCAACATTTGAATCTGTTAGCATTATGCCAATTGAATGATCGGTCGACATAAGAGTGGGTTGGGAAAATTTATTCATTTTTTATGTAGCTGATAAGATGTCCATTTGTTTAATAAGATTAATAACAACACTATTTCCATCGATGCTCCTTATCTTTTTATCCATTCCACCATGCATGCATCCTAATGGAGAACCGGTCATGAGCTGAGATCAGCACAGAACAGGTTTCGCCGCATGACCAGTTGATCAACACATCTTTTAATATATTTTTGTTCTATTTGCTTATTAATGTTTTCGTATGAGCAGATAAAAACATTAATTAATTTAATGAAGCTGGTTTAATGTTATTAATGTTGACGATTGACGATTCATTTGGATCATTCGTCGAAAGAAGATGATATTGGAATGTGCACTGAACAGTTTGAATTTAGCACCAGTCTACGTGACCGATTCGGACTTCAAAGCGACAGTTCGCGAACGAGTGGCCTCGATGTATTTGAACGATTGGTTAGCCGATGTGGTGTTCATAGTGGGCAGTGAGGAGGTGAGGTGTTTGATCTGACTGTTGCGATTGATTTCTTGGTTTGATTGCTGAAGTGATTGTTTGACGATTGTTGTTGTTTTGATTTGTGTATTGATTGTATGCTGCATTGAAGGATCGCGAACGCATTCCTGCACATTCGTATGTACTATCGATAGCATCACGAATATTCAGTGCGATGTTTCATGGAGGTTTCGAGAAGAAGACCGAAATCGAAATACCCGACGTTGAGCCGATTGCGTTCAAAATTTTGTTGAAGTGAGTGGAATTTCAATTGAGATGCGCGTGGTTGTTTATGAGGTGATGTGGGGAATGTTTTTAGCGGTTTGATGTTCGTGAAGTTTTGAAATATGGATTGTGAGTTTCGACTGATATCGTTAGAAAATTTATGTATCCCTATGCGCTAACAGACAGAATCTTGCAGATATTTGTATACGGATGAAGTGGAGATTAAGGCCGAATATGCGCTGTGCCTTCTGTATGCAGCGAAGAAATATTTCATTCATTATTTGACTCGAGCTGTGGTCACGTTTCTGGAGGCAAACCTTAGCGCAGATAATGTCTGCTTATTGCTCTCGCAAGTGACACTTTTTGAAGAGCAGGAACTCATTAAGCGGTACGTTCGCTCTTTTGTTTCATTTGTTGAATTATTTGTTTTGTCATTCCACTCCATGTTTTTGAGGAAGTTAACGAGAGATCTAACTGAAATGTTTTCTATTTCAGAATACATGGTAGGTGGTAAGGAAAGAGTGTTTTTGTTGCATTCTTTAATATGAACAGCTGATTTCATGAGAATTTTAAGAAATAATAAAGAATTTTTCAAGCAGATTTTGCTGTCGTTCAATTGAATTACTGATTGTGTCTTTTGATTCTTAGATTATTTCGTTACTAAGCGTCATATAGGTGGTGATTTGAATGAATACTGAATAAAATGTTAATTTGAAGATGTTGGGAATTGGTGGATGCGAATGCGGAGTGTGTGCTGCGATCGAAAGGTTTCGTTGACATTGACTATCAGTTGTTTGAGCAGATCATCTCACGTGAAACATTGATCATTCATGAACGAACCGTGTTCGAAGCATCTGTGGAATGGGCCAAAGCTGAATGTGTTCGGTTAGCTGTTATCCTTTCGTTTACGTTTTTATTATTGAATAATCTTGTTCGTTGTTTGATTGTTTACGGATGTGTTTCATGGTGTCTCGTTACAGTTTGATGACAAAAGTCCTGGTTTTCAGTTGTTTGTTTTTTCCGTTTGAATTCATTGTAAAATTTCATACATTCAGACGCAATTTGGAATTGAATGCGATGAATATTCGTCATATGTTGAGCGATGCCTTCTACCATATTCGTTTCCCGGTGATGACTATCAATGAGTTTGCGAATTGTGTGGTGAAATCAGAGCTGTTGAGTTGTCAGGTAGTGTTTTGTGCAGTTTATTTATTTGAAGTGTGGTTATTTTTGTTGGCATTTTGAGGTTATGTGAAGAAGCGCGCCGTAATATGGTGGTCAATTCAGGTGTGTATTTCAGGAAACAAATAATATCTTCTTGCATTTTGCGGCTGAGGAGAAACCACGTCTGCAGTTTCCGGTGGAGCCTCGTAATGGATTGCCACTGCAGATTTGTTCACGATTCCATACCGTTCTTCAAGGGTCAGTCAATCAGTTGGTTCGTTCTCTTTGGGAATAGATTCAGAAAAAGTTTCCGTTATGAACATTTTATGTTGTAGAACAAATCAATGGCGATATCGTGGTCGATGTGATAGTATTCAGTTTATTGTGGATCGACGAATCTTCGTTGCTGGTTACGGCTTGTATGGAAGCAGCAGTGGGCAGTCGCGTTACAGTGTACGGAAATTTGTTTGATTGTTCGAATGTTTTGCTTCATTATTTTTTCGTTTTGCATTATGCTTCATTTTATGTGTGATTACATAAGATGTTTTTCAAAGCTTGTGTTAATTTTATAATTGGTTTTGTCAAGAAATTAATTGTGAGATGATACTGTCAGGTGAAAATGGAGTTGAAGAAGGGTCATGAAGTGTTAGCAACGATGCAAGGCCCGTTGTATTCATCGGGTTTTCCAGAACCACAGCCACTGTTGTTCAATCACCCCGTTCAAGTAGGTTTAGCCATGTATTTTGTTTGCATCATGCCATCTTATAACAAATTGAGTAGATGGTCAATTATATAGTAAGTTAGAGTGTACCCTTGAATTTTTCAAGTGTATCTTTAATGTTTGAATTTCCTTATCTTTGTTTTCAACTTTTCAGATTGATCCTGATATACAGTATACGGCATCGGTTACAATGGAGGGTCAGCTGAGTCATTTTGGACAAGAGGTGAGTGAATATGCGTTGTGTTTAGGTTATCAGAGTTTGGAGGTGTGAACTTTTTGATGTGATTGGTTAGAAATTGAAGATTGATGAAATGGTTTGTTGAGGATTTTTGTGAATTGACGTAAATGAATTATAAATAGATATTTTAGGGAATGTCTGAGGTTGTTGTTGAGATAAATTACCATGGGAGAAGATCGTCGATGAACACCGCTTCTGGAGCAGGCTCGAAGCAAGATGGTGATGAAGTGGTGAACTTCTTCTTCACGCCATCCGCGGACAGTAAGAACGGTACGGGTGTTCAGGGTGGTCAAATCCCGCAAATACTCTTCTACCCTTGAACTTGACGCCGTTCATTCGAAGGGTAAAGGATGGATTGGATTGAGTGGATGTGGAAACTCTATTATGATATAAGTTAGTAATGTAATGAGTACAAAGTCTTACAATTAGGATAAAGCTCGTAATCTTAATTTTGTTCTTGTCGCTTTTGTTTTGGAATATTCACTGAGAATTGGGAATTATTTGTAAATAGTAAGTATTTTAGTGAAAAGAGTTGTATTGTGTTATATTTTGATGGAACGGAACGCATTTGTTTCTGTTGAATATGCATATTAGACTGAATGTTGCAGTCAGTAATTGTTTGATGTTTTGTATTGTTTTTTGTTTTTTTAACGTATTGATTGAATTAGTTTCAAATTCGTTGGTGTTTTGTTGTTATAACACTGACAATTTAAGTGGTCCGAGATGGTTTTTAATTTGGAATACTTTCGTTGTGCCACAGGAAATGAGATCAGTGGAAATGTATGAATTCATGTGAAACTTTACTATGAGATGTTGATATGCATAGGGTTTATTTTCATCACCGGAGGGAACTGAAACTGATGGTTAATTGTAAACAGTGGAAATTGTGATATAGGATAACTGAGTGCCAGATTCGATGGTTACATAGATATAATTTTCCTGTAGTGGCTTCATCAGATGTATTCGGAATGTTGTTCTCTTATTGTGTTGCTGCTCTTAAATGCTTTTTTTTACCTGTTCAAACTTTCCTTTCATTTCGTATGTATGTCATGTCGCTTGTGTGTTCGTTGGTGAGTTGTCTCATTGTTTCCATTCTGTGCATTGTGATTATATTATAATAATTATAGTGATAATAATAAAAATAATAACAGTGGTGATAAGTTGGAGAACATCGTTAGTGATGAGGCTGTGTTATTGGGATTGCATTAGAACGAGATGTATTTTGAAACTTTTTATGTCGACGGAGTGAACACAATACATTACTCATAAATAAGAAAAAATAATGTAACTCATAGACAAATATAGACAGAAGAAGGTAATGGTTTTTCAAATATTGAACAATAGTACAAAAGCTTGAGTAGCTTTTCAGGAAGTGCAGAAAGAATGCGTGATGTGCTGCACACGTAAAGAAGACTGTACATTATGGATGTTTTGAACGCGTTTTTGAATTGTTAACTTTATTTACGCACTCAACAACAAAGCACATCTCATTAATTCAGTGAATAAACTCATCCACCGTGAATTGCCAATTCGGCAAAATGTGTAAACTTCTTATGGACTTCTACGAGTCGGCAAAAAGTCTCCAGAGAACTAATTGATTTCCTGAGGATTTAAACAGTTAGCGTTTCGCGAATCGGTTTTTATTACGTATTTCGAGTATACAATGCAATCGATCCTTTTTAGCTTTGAAATATATTTTGATAAAATGAGAAGATGATTAAAAATGGTGAAAATTCACAACTTAAAAACAAAAGACGATACACGGACAGTTCAAGAAGAAACACGTAACTTACACAACGGATGAACACACAATTATATTCGACTGGAATATTCATCGCAATATCTCATACAAACCAAACGATACTTATCACGAGTAATAACCTTGAAAAGCGCCAATAACCATATAAAATTAATACATACAGTAATCGAAGCGATCACACAACGACAATATTTTCAAAACCATCGAAATAAAAATTGTTTAGGGAAATGAGATAGTGAAATCATTAAAAAACCGACAAAATATACGCAAAAATTCACTGAATCAATCTCAGTTTATTTACTCAGTTATTCATCTCTTTCCAGATTTAATCACTTTCGAAATTCAAAAAACACTTTCTTGATCGTCATCGCTGTTTGCTTATGTAATGAACAATTCAGAGTGGTTCATTCACAACACTTCTTCACACAAAATATACACAAACGCAATTCACAAGAGAACTCTTCACTCGCCCAATTCACTAATCTAAATCACTGTCGTAAAACGAATCACTCCGGAAACGAAAATTGCAAAGGGTCGATTTTAATCGCCTTCTTAGTGGTGTCACTCCATCATCGTTAAAGTAGATCTTGCACTGCTGCATTGATATCAAAAACTGTGATGGCGCTCTGTTTAGTTGCTGAAAACAAATTCAGATGAAAATCAAATGAAATCGAGAAATGAATCTTCATCAAACAGTCTTCTTATCATTAAAAAATCTGAAAAATACTCAACAAAATCAGTCCGATTAGAGTATTCATCGCGGATATTCAACACAAAACAATAAATGGAACTGTCAGATCACACCGAATCAATGAGTGACGCGGCAAATTCGCAACAGAATATGAAACAATTGAAACGTGACACTTTTATCAAAGCAATCAGAAATTATATGTGAATTATAAATATGATACATAACACAGCTGTATGATACAATCGCCATTATCTCAAATTTAAAAAAATAAGCCAATATCAATGAACAATTGATACCGAAGCACTTTTCAATAGAGAATGAACAATGGAAAAAAAAGATGCTCCATTGAGTATCAAATTAAAATTGATAAACGCAATGAACTTAAGTATTTCTTTACAGAAAAATCCGTGTAGACTAGCGAAATGCATCATACAAAGGGATAGCGCAACACGACACATTATGATGAAGACCATAAAATAATAATGATAACACAATAAATTTTGACATATATTGTGAAATCAAAACGACTGAAAAATTTGATCAAAAACATGTTCACTCAATGACAGTAAGCCGAAAAAAACCACTGATTAACACCATATCAACCTCCCATCGAAAATACTATCGTCGCTGTTCGTAGGCAACTGAATGACAGCAGTTCTTCGCCTTTTTCAGTGACAATAATAAGACAATAACACAACAACAACGACAATTATGCCTCAATGTTCAATTAATTCAGTCAGTTAGATTCAATAATCGTATTGAATTCGTTGATTGAAGAATTCAGAGATTCACTCAATTCCTGAAAAGAAATTAACATATCGCAATGCTTTACAAGTCATTGCAACGTCTCATCGATGTATTTTGCCGTTCCGTGATCAATTCATTCATTCTGTATTCCTCTAATTATGCACTGCAACTATCGTCTTCGAATGGATGTTTCACAGAGAACATTGCAAAAAGATGTTTCGATTGGACACTCAAATTTAAGCATCTAAAACATTGGCGACTTTTTCATGACATGCGAAATGTTTTTTAAACTTTTGTTGACGTTTACCGAAGAAAGAACAAGATTTTTCGATCCCTCTCTATTCTATGAAAATGTTCTGTATAAATTGCACACAAGCAAACAGAACAGCAAATGATTGCAAAAAAAGCAATGTGTGCACATATGAGGAATATTATTCGGCAGGAAAATAACAATCACAATTTCCCGTTCCATTCACTTCACACAACAACAACAAAACGAGCAAAATGGCAAATGAAAACAACACAAAATTCAACGAAATCAGTGAAGAACACACACACAAAATTCAGTATAAATTAACGAAATGATAGTGAAGTTGAAGACATCGACGTGAATAGATGCAACATTTCAAGTTATTCACGTCGACACAAACCCAATGAAACAAAACAGAACTTAATTAATGCAATATCATAACAGTACTGAATGTTTCAAAAGAAACACGCAGTCAAATGCACAAATAATCATTACTGAATCATCAAAAACAAAAACAAAAGATATTTCCGATCCGAGTGAAATGAATGAGGAAGAAAACTTAAATAAATGAAGATACTTCAAAAATGATTTGAATCGAAACAGACGACTGATGTCTCAAATGATTTGAAATAAACATTTCAAAAAACGATTCTAAATTCACTTCAACTAAATAAAGTCGAAATGTTTTCGCTAAATTCGAGAGGAAAAAACAAGAATGAAACAATGAAACAACAAACTAAGAATTCATACAATATAAATGAAACTGAAGAAAAAAGGAATACAAAATCACAAGTCTCACACAATACACTGAAACATTTTCAAGTGTTGCTTTCAAAATGCATTTCTCAGAAACTTTGAAAGAATTCCTCAATTAATGTAAAAATCTATCTCGAGTATAGTGAATGAATAAACTTCGAGAATAAATGAAAACGGATTGCAAAAATGCGTAGGTGTAAATTCAAAATACATACGTTATGCGCACTTACTTGTTGGATCCAAACAAAGAAAGTAACATCCAGAAGATGTAGATGATATCCAAAAAGATCTGAATCGATGCAAAGATGTACTCTTCTGGTGATAATTCGTATTTCCTTCCACCCATCAGCATCTGAACGAATCACCACATTTATCAGATCTTTCAGCACGTTCATTATTATCATTATTGAAATAGCTAGTGTCATTGTATAATACCATAATCTCGTTGTTTACTCGCTTTCATCATCCACATAATACAATAGACCAGCAGTTCTAAAGGTGCTCCATTACCCCTTTTGGTGATCTGGCAGGCCACCGTTACCCTCCCCCTCCCCTCCCTCCGAAACCCCCAAACTACCCAAATTGGGTAATTTCACCCCCTATGAAAACCACTGCAATAGAGAATCACCCGAATCGTTAGCAAGCGATTCATACAAAAGTGGTCCGTAGGTTTATGATATCATCACTCTATTAGTTATTCAATAATATGAGTGCTTCAATGGTATTGCTATCGTTGTTATTTTAGCTGCCTAGTCACCGAGATGATTTCTTTCATCGAATTATTAGACACTCGTTATTATTTTCAATTGATTAATCGACAGTATCGCAGTCTTTTAAATCAATCGCTGCTATGCTCTGCATCAGGAATAATGAATCGTTGACATACTTGAATGTCAATAGCCAAGTAGACCATGAAGAGGAGTGCAGCAAGGCCCGCGTAAACTGTATAAAGCCATCTTACGTGAAATACCATTGCCGAGATAACAGCCACTAGACCGAAGACGAACAACACCATGGATGCGATGAACACGATTCCCATCATACTGAAATTCCCATTTATCCTCTTCTTCATGCGAACTTAGTTAACTTGTCATAGTTAACTTCAGAAGCATCACAACTATCAATTCACAGCATTATTAGCATCACCACTGGCGGTAGCATGCTTATTCGAACTGTTATCGTTAATCGAGAATTTCGTTGACTATTGTTATGATTATTAATGTTAATGTTTGCGATTACTACTATCATGCCTAGTCGAATACAAAACATGAATGGAACCTTGTCAGATCATATTTGGTTTGTGACGAGAAGATGATGATGCCAACGCAACAAACAGCCGTGATGATCAGACATAGAAGCACCGAAACGATATTATTGAACGAGCAAATCATCATGGTCATGTAACCAATGGCCAGGGTCAGTATTCCGGTTGCGATCAGATTGATTGGGAATGATCTGCGAATACTTTCGCAGCACATCAACGCCAAATACACCACGAAAAATGTGCCATAGCTGACCCAGTAGAGTGCTAGTGAGGATTGCACTGTGCGCATCACATCACGACTCATGAACGGTATTGCGGTCATGATCGCAACCACTGTTAGCTGAAATTTTATATCACTATTATTATTTAACATATCATGATCAGTTTCATTATCATTATTGTTATCACTACTGGTATTGATGCTATTACTGTTTCACGTAATCAAAAGCACACCTATTTACGCATAATATTACTAGTGTTAATTCTGCAAGTTTTAGTTGGTTGTCGTTGCAATTTTTAAAATTATTGGAATCGTCACTGCGATTACTAGCACTTCGAAATAATTTCCATGTTTTGAATGTATTCGCATACCTATAACAGAAACAGTAACAGCTAAAGTTTCAATGAAAAGAACGAATCTGAATGAATTAATATTGCTTAACTGACCATTATTGCGACCATAGTGAACACCTTTCTAACGAAGGCAGCTCGGATTGTTTGTGAATCAAAACCGAAAGTCGGTTTATTTCCTTGCTCAGCATCGCTGACGGCGCCTGTTGGCATCGGCATTCTAGGTGGCAGTACTGGAGCGTATCCTGAAATTTCATTCTGATCAAGTTTTTGTTATAACACATGAACGGTTCATTAACAGACTGGGTGTGGGTCATAGTTCCAGATGAACGAATGTTGACAAGAGGCAAAACGCTCAGCAATAGGATTTTCTCGTGTATAAGGGATTGTTGCTTTAAGTATTCCTGTTCTCACACTGATGCCGCATCACTAACAATGAGCATACGACAACTGCCGCAGTTGAGAATCACTTCTGTATAAACTGAACGGAGATGGATCACAACGTATAATTCCCTGAGAACGGAATTCAATGAACATTCATAAAAACCAAACATCAATCAAAAATTCTCATGCTTGTGCCCCTAGCACTCACACGATCGGAACTGAACATTTAGACGGGTTGCAAGATAATTGTAAGCTAAGGTAATCACTCCCTCAAAACGTTCATATTCCTCTAATCCAGCAAAATTCTCCGACTAGACTGCTAAAACAATGAATGCAATAAAATGATTTCGTCAACGACAACACAATTAAAGTTGTTAGCACCATATCGAGTTACTATGGAAACACGATAGGACAATTAATGCAAGTTTACATACACGAATAATGTGCATTTGAAAGTAATATGATTGAAAGTTGGTATTTCACTTGAGCAAAGAAAACTGGTTATAAGTATTCATAGAATGCTGCTTATATATTATATGAATCATCAATGAAACCACTCACAATCAGTTTAATTCTAGAACAGATGAAGTTTTCATTAGCAAAGGAAGATAACTGTATGCAAAGAAGATCATTATATGCAAATTAGATCACCATAAAACAAAGGATAATAGTGATAATGGCAGCAAAGGTGATAATTTTCATTAGCAATCGTCAATGAAACTTCTCAAACCTCTCAGTTCTTTTTCATCAGAAGGGATTCTTCTGAAAACGCTTGAAGAAATCAAACGTTATGAATCGATCTTTCTTAACGTGAACAATATCACACATCAATACGTGAAAATGGTTAGCGGCAAGACGACTTCAGCGAGAAAATAGAGGCATCCTTCAAACTACCTTGTCTGTTTCGAAAAGGACTACTGAAATCGCAAGGAATCTCAACAAATTCAAAACTGCTGTGGGATACAACTCAGCTGGGAACAAATCGATCAACGACACGAGAATAACATGTCGAGAATGCTACTGATTATGACACGAATGCTGGGTCGCCAACTGCTAGCTATTGCGAAATAAAACCGGTTCTCTGTCTAATGTGCCTTTTTGATGGGTGTTTGTTGTACACGTCAACATGCGATCTGACACTGGACCTATTATTCATGTAACACCGAAAACCTCAAACGGGTAGAGCAAGTTAACACTGAATGTTCAAGCAAACAAACACGTCAACGATGTATGATTCACCATTGACTTAACACCAAAAACATGCAATGCTCTATTGCTCATTGTAAATATTCCCCCTCAAATATCAATTTCTTCTAGTCCAGAAAAGGCAGCCAGCAATAAACAATTAATAAATGATTAGATGAGATGATGAACAAGCCAGATCTTGGATTAGCCCGATCAGGCTGGATCAAAATATCTTAGCTGTGCAAATCTTATCAACGTTAGAGCATTGAAGGTTTCGACTTTGGAGCAGTTCGTGAGCTCTGAGTCGTAAGGTCTCTAAGGTGTGTTTTGAATGTAAGATCTCTACGTCGTAAGGTTTGTTTTGAACGTGATCCTTCCATTTAAGGGGAATAACGCATGCGTGGACCAAGAGGAGATTCTTGCCTTCAGCTTGCTCCATACTCTGATATTGCTCAGCATTGATTGTGCACACCTGCCATCGCATTTCCGGCTTATTTAACAGCGCCGAGACTTATAAAAGTTTTATCAAGATCGGAACTATTTAAGAATCAGAGTAAAGAGAGAAGGACGGAATTTTCGCATGAATAATGCAATATGATAAAGCAGAAGTTGGAAGCAGAGTGAATTAGCAATATGTTCCAAAAGTAATCATATTTATATCATATATTTCGAATGGTTCAGAAAATGGACAATTTCGCAATTTTAAAAGATATCATATTCAGATCCAAAAGATAATACCACATGGTACCAGGATGCCACATGATATTAATCACAAATCGCTGGTTTTTGCTATATTGTTATACGCATTGTGATATGTAATCAAATGAAGCATGCATGCGTATCATCAAAATTGTATTCGTTTTTTTCGCAGATCAATAGAATGCAAAATTAATCTCAACCTAAGATCATTGGCCGATGACGAAACGCAGTTTGAACAGCGACTGATAAACATTATATCGTTTGCCACGCGAGCTTGGGTGATAAGCTGATAATGATAAAGTGAT